CAGAATGGAGAGGACGGCTTTGGCTGTCTGTGAGGTGATGCTGGGAAGGGAGAAAAAAACACTTTTCTGAGAAGAGGGTATTGTGAGGAGACCTCAAAGCTTGGGCGGAGGCATCTGGCATTTCCTGAGGTGGAGGAGAAAATGCTGTGAATGGCAAGAAAAACTTAAATTCCGCTTTTTTGGGGATTGTGGGGAGGGCGTGAGGCCCGAGGCATGGGGGTGCTGGACTATCCATCACCCTCGTGGGTCCATTGTGAGGAACCAGTGTATTCCGGGCTTGCCTTCGTGGGAGTTAACACCACCACCTAAAGCTGAGAACGCGAAGGCTCATGAACTATGGTGTTTGCTAAACCTGAGATGATTCTGAGAGGGGGCAGAAGTCGGTCAGCTTGATTCCCAACGTTTTCTTACCCACCTATGCTGAGAGGGGACTTGGAAAGGCGGGAAGGGAATGTGCAGCCATGAAAGGGTGGACCAGGGAGTCAGAGGGTATGCAAGGAGGCACCAATCTATCCAAAACGGGAATGCGAGGACAAGGTGTGATACCACCCCGGGGGCAGCCACTGAGAGGTGCAGAGCCTGGGCTGAATGACAAAAGGTTGAATCCAAGGGCTCATCCTAGTTCTCCATACCTGTAGTCTGCAAACTTTGGTTCTGGAGAATGGCACTGATTGAACACCTGGTACCAACTAGCCACGTGCGTTCACTCCATTGCTGAACTTTGCAGCTTTAGCTAATGGAGCACTTAGCTCCAGACCTTCTAAAGGACACCGTACAGGTGAATATAGACAGAATCACAGGCTCAGAGATAACTTAGGGTATTCGTGGTCCTTGTGTCTTCTTTGTCATCGTCAAAGGAAGTTGGGGGATTAGATTTCACAGATGACAGAACCTGGGATAGAACCCAGGGCTCTGACTCACCAGCTAGTATTCTTTTCCCAACTGCTATCATTATACATAAAGACGCTGGAAAAATCTGAACAGAGGGTGCACAGGAAATCAGAAGATAATGTGAAGGAAGCTGTTAGATTGTAGAAGTGCCTGGAAACTGTCTTCACCAACTCTGGGGCGAAGCAGGATCTTAGTTCCCAAATTTGTTTACTCAGAACTCTCTGCCTAAAAAAAAAAAAAAAAAAAAAGGAACCATTGGCTGAGGAATTTTATAGTGCTTGTTGCCCTTGCAGAGGCCTGAAGTTTAATTCACAACACCCTGGTGACAATGCTGCCTTCTAACCTCTGTGGGCAGCAAGCGTGTGGTGCACTTATGTATGTACAGACAAAATACTCATACACATAAAAATAAGACTTTTCAGCCTGGTGTGGTTGTGCAGGCCTTTAATTCCAGCACTTAGGAAGCAGAGGCAGGTGGATCTCTGAGTTCAAGGCCGTCTTGGTTTGCAAAGCAAACAAAATTGTGAGGTACCTTGTTGGTGCTCAGAACTGAACTCTGGCCTTCTGCAGGAAGAGCAAGTGCTCTTAACCTTAGAATGTGTTCTCCATTCCTTCTCCAGCATTTTTTTTTTTTTTTTGAGACGGTTTCTCTGTGTAGCCCTGGCTGTCCTGGAACTCACTCTGTAGACCAGGTTGGCCTTGAACTCACAGAGATCCATCTGCCTCTGCCTCCTGAGTGCTAGAATCAAAGATGTGCACCACCACCTCCTGGCTCTCCCAACGTTCTTTTTTTAAATATAAATTTTGTTTAAATTAGAAACAATCGGGCTGGAGAGATGGCTCAGAGGTTAAGAGCACCGGCTGCTCTTCCAGAGATCCTGAGTTCAATTCCCAGCAACCACATGGTGGCTCACAACCATCCGTTATGAGATCTGGTGCCCTCTTCTGGTGTGCAGATATACATGGAAGCAGAATGTTGTATACATAATAAATAAATAAGTAAATAAATAAATAAATAAATAAAATCTTTTAAAAAATGAGAAACAATCTTATTTTAAATATCAATCCCAGTTCCCCCCCCATCCTCCCATGCCCCCCACCAACATCCCCATCCCATCCCCCAACCACTCCCCAGGGAGGGTGAGGCCTTCCACTAGGGATCATCAAAAATCTGTAAAGTCATTTGGGGCAGGTCCTCCAGCATTCTAGAATAATGTAGCTAAGCATTTCTCTCATTCTGCCCCTCAAAAATGTTCGCTAGAATGGTAAAGATGATCATAATTAGATGCCAGTCTTCTCCATAGTTGGCTTGTATTTGGAGAAAAAAGAAAAAAAAACTGCTGTTTAATTTTTAATTTTCATTTCCAGATGAACTTACCCAGAGACTTTACAGTCATAATTTCCCATCATGGTTGGAATAATGTTAAACTATTCTGCCTACTCATGTCACTTCCCAACTATTTTTTGTGTTTAGATACAATGTTGTGCTCTGAACAAATGTAAATCTGAGATTTCATAAGCATGAATACAGTATTCTATATGTTAGAGTTTTAACTTTGTCATACAAGTTTGTTAGGAGCATGATTTTAAAGATTGTGTTTTATTTGGATTTTGTTCTTTTCAGATTTTGAGATATTTAATCATTCACTGGAAATGTGAAACAGGAATAGTAAAGGGAGCATTGCTAGAAGGGCAGCTAATGATTTCCATAGAAGCACTAAGTTCTAAGCGTTTGCCAAATTCTCTTCATTGTGCAATAACTAGTAAGTAGAAGAAGAAAATCACTGATTCTCTGTTGTTGTTTTGTTGTAGTTTGCATGTCATGGTTTGTATAAAGTTTCCAATTTGTCACAATCTTTTCTAGTGCAGCTATAAAGTCAAAATGATTTTTTGAGGTAATTGTATGACATCTGCATACAAATAATCAACTTTTATTGATTTTTTTAATTCTTTAATTACTACTCATATTTACATATCTATCCCCCCACTCCCTCGACCTCCCATCCACCCATGCTCCCCCCCAACCCCCCCAACCCATCCCCCAACTCCTCCCCAGGGACTTCTCTGTCCTCCATCAGGGACCCCCAAAGTCCATCATATCATTTGGGGGAGGGCCCAGGCCCTCCTCACTGCACCTGGGCTGCAACATTTTTTGTTTTTTCAAGACAGAGTTTCTCTGTGTAGCTTTGGAGCCTATCCTGGCACTTGCTCTGGAGACCAGGCTGGCCTTGAACTCACCAAGATCCACCCGCCTCTGACTCCTGAGTGCTGGGATTAAAGGCATGGGCCATTAATGCCAGGCGCCAAAATGATTTTTAATAAGTATTTGGTAATAGATTTATAAGTGTTCAATAAAGGGAAGGTAAAAAGAATTATTCTTGTTGTGAGACTATATAGCTATCTTAAATTAAAATTGCTCAAAGCAGGGGCTAGGGAAATGGCTCAGTGTTTAAGAGCACTGGATGCTGTTCCAGAGGATCCAGGTTCAATCCCCAGCACACACATGGCAACTTACAATTGTCGGTAATCCGACACTCTCATACAATCATACATGCAGGCAAAACACCAATGCACATGAAATAAAAATAAATAAAAATTTAAAAAATTGCTCGAAACAATTTTACTTTTGCTCTTGGTTTTAAGTTACTCTTTCCAAACAAAATTATATTGAGTTTTACTTTTTTCTGTGTATGGACTTTGACAATTTCAAAAGAGGCAAAAATAAAGGAAAGGGAAAAGAAAAGAAATAATGAATGGTGTATGCTCTTATCACAATTCCAAGACTTTTTGAACATAATGGACTTCATCAGCATGTCTGGCATAGATGGTACTACTCTGTTATCTCTGACCTTCATGTAGTTAGTTTATTTATAGTATGTCAAGAAAAAGGTGATATACACCTGACATATAGTGCATCATTTCAGAAACATATTATGGAATATGACTTTCTAGTTATCTGACTCTCTGGAATAATTATTAACATTCAATATGTTCCATATTTTTCTGTGTATTGTGCACAGTTATTGAATTTAAAAATGCAATTAGTATATTATAGTTTCACATGCTTTTTAAGTAAAAGTAGGCAATGTTTTGTATTAACATGTAGAAATCAACTTCATTCATTTTTGGAAACTTCCTTTGTTTCAAGTTTTATAAGTTGTATAGGCATACAATTTTAGAAGTGAGATAGTTCAGGCCAGACGTGGTGGTCACAACACTTGGGAGGCTGAGGCAGGAGGGTTGCTGTGAATTTGAGTTCAGCCTGGCATATATAATGAGTTCCAGGTCAGCATACGCTGAGAGTGAAGATATCCATAATTTATGTGGATGCCAGATGGTGGTGATCTGCTTATAATTTGAGCCTTGGAAGGTAGAGACTAGGATGCCAGGAGCAAACTGGTTAGTGAAACTAGCCATATATGTCGATCAGTGTTTTAAAGACCCTACCTCATAGAATATGGAAGAGCAATTGAAGATCCCTAACATCAGTCTTGCCCCTTCACATGACTCAAACTTCACATATATATGAGAAGAAGGGGGAAAATTAGGGAAATAATTAAGGAAGAAACACAATACCAACTTCTACCCTTGACATGAATGCATGCACACAGTTTCTTGCGCATACACTCACATGTTATACACACACACACACACACACACACACACACACACACACACACACACAAAAGAGCTATGAGATGGCCCAGCCCCCTGACTTTTTCCCTCCTAAAGGCTACTGTTTCTAAACATATTTGTTTGGTAATATCTTTTTCATTAAAAAGGTTTATTTTTAGTTCTGTGTGTGTTTCTGTGTGCGCGTGCGTGTGTGTGTGTGTGTGTGTGTGTGTGTGTGTGTGTGTGTGTGTGTGTGTGTGTGTCTGGTTCTG